ATTCGAAATACATATTTTCAAAAAAAAAAGATTATATAATGCACCAGGCAATCTTTATTCCTCTGATATGATTGTCAGTGATTCAGAAAGGTGGTGGCGATGATGAGGCCATTCCCTGTTTAAAGTAAGTTAAATTATTGTTAGAATAAACAAAACAAGAAGAACGTATTCCCAAGCAACGTTCACTTTTTTTTTTTTTTTTTTTTTTTTTTTTTTTTTTTTGGTTTTTTATTTTATTGGTGTGTGAGAGATTAGATTGCACAAATACATAGACATATTAGGGTAGGTATGCTTGGTCTTATTTCAATTTTGAATATTCTCCCTGTAGAATTAACTCCCCCCCCCACCAACCACCCCCTTAAGAAATGAAGTCTTAAAAATCTTCTTTTCTTTATCTACTTTTATCCAATAAAAAAGCCCATAATAGTAGACGTATTAAAATGATACGCTAACGCTCGTCCTTAATTAAAAGTAAATATCCATTTGATAGTGACTGGGTAGTTTGTATCAAAGTGATTCAATCGAATGTCATTCTGTTTCGTCCAATAATTTAATCTCTTTTTTTTCTTACCGTCTGTCTTCCATTCCCACAACCGGATTCTACCCCCCCCCCCTCTTTCTCTGTTTCTTATATTCCTCTGTTCTCTTTCCCATGTTGCATTTCTTCTTTTCCTCTTTATTATCTGCTTTATTATTCTTTGTGTGGTTGTCTTTCTCTCTGTCTCTCTGGATATCTATCTGTCTATCTGTCTATTTGTGTATCTATTCACTTATATATCTGTCCATACTAATTATCTGTCTATCTGTTTGCCACTATATCTATCTCTGTTTATGTCTCTGTCTGTCTGTATATCTTTCCATCTACCTCTGCCTATCTGTATATTTGTCTATCTATATGCCTACCTATCTATCCATCCGTCTGTTTCTATCAATCTGTTTATCAATCTATCTGTTTATCTATATCCATTAAAATCTCTCTCTCTCTCTCTCTCTCTCTCTCTCTCTCTCTCTCTCTCTCTCTCTCTCTCTCTCTCTCTCTCTCTCTCTCTCTCTCTCTCTCTCTCTCTCTCTCTCTCTCTCTCTCTCTCTCTCTCTCTCTCTCTCTCTCTCTCCCTCTCTCTCTCTCTCACTCTCTCTCTATCTCTCTCTCTCTCACTCTCTTTCTCTCAACGCCCTCTCCCTCCCGTCTCCCCCCTCCAGATCCAGCTCGCCAGCATGTGTATGTGTGTCAGCATCAGCGCCTCCGTAAGCCTGGGATGCCTCTTCACCCCAAAGGTTTACATAGTCATCTTCCAGCCTTACAAGAACGTGCGTCAGGGCTCAGGTCCCGTTAAGGTGAGTCTGCAGCTTCTACGAGATGCTTGTTTCCTTTCGTGATTGTTTTTTTTTTTTTTTTTTTTTTTTTTTTTGAGGGGGAGGGAACTGGGGAGGGATATTTGTGAGTTGTATTTGTAGTTTTATAAGTTGCGTGTTTGGGGTCGATGACAGGGAAATGTTGCCATGCCGAGACAATAAGGGATTTTTTTTTCTTTTTCCTTTTTTTGTTTGTTGTTTAGTTAGAGATCGGAGTGCATTTGCGTATAGCGTCGTTCGTCAGATCTCTGCTTTGATTTTTGGTGTTAATGTCGTTGTGCCAAATGAAAATTTTTGACTTCAGCTGCCATTCGAGTAGCATTCTTTTTTCAATAAACATCTTTTCATATATATCTGTAGCTGTTAGACTGTTTTCCTGTCTACTGACAAAAGCCTACATTTTTTTCCCATGTAGTGAAACCTCAACTCTAGCATAGTTATACACACTGCTAATAATGTATATAACGACACTTAGAAAAGTCTATCACTAGAATCTATCGCTGTAGTAAAGAAGCCAATTTTACGAACCACATGGCATATTATTCCGGGTTTGTCATCACCTGCATGTTCTTAATCACGTTGCATGTGAGGGACTTATCTTTTTATTTCGTACACATACATTTTTTATTGTTTTTATTTGTTTGTTTGTTTGTTTCTATTTTCTTTATAAATTGACATTATCCTTTCATCTGATTATCTGATTATTCACCTATTCCTTTTCTAGTAACTGGCAAGTATCTTAGTGGCTGATACTTTCTTCTTCTTCCTATGCCTCTTCTTCCAGCTTTTTTACTTCCTTCCTCCTCCTCCTCCTCCTCCTCTTCTTCTTCCTCTTCCTCTCTCATCCTCTTCCTCTTCCTCCTCCTTTTCCCATTCCTATTCCTCTTCTTCTTCCCCTTCCTCTTACTCCTCCTTCCCCTCTTCCTCCCCCTCTTCCTCCTCCTCCTTCTCCTTCTCCTCCTCTTTCTCCTCCTTATGACCCTTATCCTCCTCCTCCTCCTCCTCTTCTTCTTCTTCTTCCTCTTCCTCTCTCGTCCTCTTCCTCTTCCTCCTCCTCTTCCTATTCCTATTCCTCTTCTTCTTCCCCTTCCCCTCTTCCTCCTCCTCCTCCTTCTCCTCCTCTTTCTCCTCCTTATGACCCTTATCC